TACTTCATTCATTGAACATCATGCAATACAGATGCGGTGTGCGCAGTTCGTCCTATTTCCGATATTAATAGATTTTCCGACCTGAGTAACCTTCAAGGGTTTTGCGCTTTGATTGGTGTCCTTGACATGGTTTAAGCTGTATCTGGTGAATGGGAGGATTAGAGATTTAATAGATCGGCAAACGAGCATACGGATTACCTGATGGTAAGTAATCAGCGCCGCCCATGGATAACGGAGGAGTTACGAGTGCGTTGCCGACCTTTTAGGGATTAGGGATTAGGGATTTGGAGAATTAAGGATTGAGGAGGGATTGGGGGTGGGGAAAGATTGGGCCTCCGGTAACCTCACTCACACGGCGAAACAACGCCGTGGTTGTTTCACGCCGGTTTTCTGTGAGGCCGTGGTATCACTCCGGTCGAGCCGACCCATTCGTGCCGAAGCATGGCTCTCCTACACTTTATTATTAGATTCTTTTGATGGTTTTCGATTATCTTGTTTATCTTTTTTGTAAGTGCAATACTTTATTTCGTATTCAGAAACTTTATGAGCATTCACAAAGCCATTTAAGTTAATTGAGCTAATTATGTTTTTATGGATTTAATTTTCTATTACACAAGTTATTCTCCTTTTTCGTCTTTGTTGTAGGATTTTGAATTTATATCTCAGATATACTTCGGCCTTTAACTTGCATTCGGCATAGCAAGACTTATGCAATTGATGTTTCGTTACTCTATTAAGGACATTTAGTAATCAGCGTGCGCCTTAAAGAGCTATATTAGATGACCACAGATGGGGCCTATTAGGGCAAATATTCCGCTGGCATTGCAGATGCAAAAGAAATGACGTAGCGCGGCCTGGCTTGGAGCAAGAAAAGAAAGAGGGTAGTATTTAGTCAGAATCTGACACTATCTCTTTCATCCCACCGAAGGCCCGAAGTCTCAGATATTTTTTATCACCCTCAAAAAAAGCAGCGTTTAATGAGATGTTCAGGTATGTCGAGAGTATACGAATACGAGTAATTGAAGTTCTGACGTCTATAATGATTGTCATACCATGTTTATTGCGCGCGATGTTAGTCTTCAATAGATCTGACCTTTGACACAAATTGTACACGTAGGTACGTTTGAATTCACTCAAGATGAATTATAGTTACATCCGTTTGGGAGATTTAAAGTACCTAGTAATATAAGAGATTGTAAAGAACATAATTTTAATGATTCTCTTGAAAACTTTCAACGTTTAAAGACCATGATAGGATATTGTAGTACCTGCTCTACATCAGATAATTTTACATGGTTAACGATGGCATATGTAAAGAAAGATAAAAAATCTAGAACTTAAATCTCATAGGATCGATAACGATGACTGCATATTGCACACATAAAGGTGCTACCAGGCCTAAGCCTAAGCATGTATGTTTCAAAAAAAAGAGCAGTCGAATTTTTTTAATTTGCTGTCCTTTGCTAGAATGCTCTCCAGAAATCTCAATGGAGTGTTTACGTGCAAATTATTTTTACGTTAACTCAAACGAAACATTACAGTGTATAGGTTTGTGATTGGTTAGTCGACTTGGAGAAGACCAATCAGAGCACTGAACGTTATAAACGTCTCGATCGTGCTAAAGTAGAGCAAATTCAGACTGAGCGCTAGAATGCTTGATAGAATGCTCGTTAAAACGTGTTCGACATTATTCTGTACCTACCTAATGTTTCATTCTACTCATTACAAGTTTATCATCACCTTCCTCAGCTTCAGCTTTGTCTAAGATGAAGAAATCCCAAACAATGTTTCTTAAAAGTCCATAAATAAATAAAAAAACAAATGATCTGTTTATTCTTACCTACATAAACACTATATTACCACATATTTAAATATTTGCAAGGTATTATGTAAATTATTACTTAACAAATCGACTCTCCTATTGTGTGTTGTAATACGAATAGAAATTTTGCATTTGCCCAAATTACCAAAAATAAATTTTGTTTTGTTTTATCTACGACTGTTTTTTTGTTATATGGGAATTTGCTTAATAATAATTTTTATCCCTTCAGTGATTTTTACCTGAAACATTTACAAACGTCCATCCATCCATCTCAAACCCATACTTGCAAAGTTTGACATTTATACCTAACATTGATAGGATGTTAATGCATTGTTTTATTGTCTCCGACAGCAAAAACATCGTCCGAAGTGTGCATATACATGTATCTGTGGCATGAAAAGTTTCAAGCCTTGTATTGCCTTATTGTATCACGGTGTCTAAAAAATTCGCGTAATGTAAAGTATAAAGTATAATGAACTGTCTACAATAGGTGCTTTACCAAAATACACCAAATCCATAAAATACTGTGGGCTAGAAATTTTTAATTCACAGGCGTTTTGCCAGAAGGCGTTGCATGGAAACCTTTTATTTTACTCGAGAGAGCGACCAGGAAGCCTCTCTGAATAATAGGGGTGGCAAATTTTCGCATTTAGATGTTGTTCGCGGAGGGCATCCTGCCTATCTCAGTTCACGACACGCTAGGGATTAGATAAGACAGTATAATTCTAAAAAAGATAAAATTGTTGCGTATTGTATTTTTGAGCCACGTTTTTTTTAAGTCAGCTTAAATAAACTGTAGGCTTCACAGTCTGTGGTCAAGTTTATACTCCTGAAATTGTCAAAATTCCTATAGATTTACGCTACGAATAATGCCATATTCGATTGGTAAAAAATAAAAAAGCTAAACTCACTAATCAAAGACCATTTTTTTTGTATTGTATTCTGGTCACATTGATTTCTGTCATAATATTACTAAGCATTGGGCCTCCGGTAACTTCACTCACACGCTGTAGTTGTTTCACGTCGGTTTTCTGTGAGGCCGTGGTATTACTCCAGTCGGGCGGAAACTTAGATCTCCCACGCTTAAATATTTCAACTGTTAATAATTATATCGTTTATGACAATACCTAATCTTATCCCTCTTTGTACAGTGGCTAGGAAGCGTTCCTTCCTTACCTTCTACCTGATGCAGGTGCTTACCGGACACGCCAGCTTCGTTAGGTAACTGTTTCGGAAACAGTGGCTGTATAACGCGTGGGTGGCGTCATTGTGAGTACTACCCGAAGGACACAGTGGAGGTATAACCCACTTGGGCTTATCATCGCCATGTCATATGTCATGTGTGAATGGTGATTAATATGACAAAAACTCTACCTTAAATATTGCTTTGTAGACTGGTATACAAAACTCACCTACTCTTTCAAGGAACAACTTACAGTCGAGTTATTTCAGATACAAAGTCGCCTCGTTACCTCGCTCAAGTTTAATGTATTCCTTATTATAGATAGATATTAGTTATAAATTGCGTTGCGTTTTAACCTTCGCATCCTAAACACGCAATCGCGTTACTATAGGCTCATTAATCTGTTTTTGGATATCATTGTTAGTTGTAATATAGTCTTTTTGTAATAAATTTGTCATAGTACAATTTATTTCTTCATCATCCTTTTTGTTATTAACATCTTAATCTTCCGTTTCAAGGGGTCTATAGAATTTGGGCCAGTGTGGTTTTTACAAATGGCTTTCTTTTTTATTATTAGGTACTGTTTTATTTGTCTTCCAATCTACATATACATATGTGTATGTTTGTATATGAAGTGAAATTTTGCAACTTAATTTTGAAATATACATATATCTTCAACCGATTGTGCTAAAATTTTGTTTTGTATCTCATTTTGTTTTGCATGCCTATAAATGTTAAGATATTATCCATTTTAAGTTATAAATACATGTCTCTAAAGTCTTCAGTCCCGTGACTTAGTAAGTTAAATGATGAAAGCTTTTATTAGATCAGTTTTTTATTCAAATGTATTGTCTAATTTCAGTCTAATTTCAATCAGGCCCTTAGTTTCAGTTTGCCATTTAAACCCTTTCTAACTTATTTATCATTCCAGCCAATGTACATTAGTATAGTCAGTTGTAGTTATTTTATTTTCATCGACATGATTTTCACTTCCGCTTGATCAATTAAACATCTGGGTAAAGTTTGATAACCTAAGTAATTATTAAAGAAATATAAAAAATAGGCTAGATGTAGTAAAAAAAATGCATAAATAATTTGAGCTAGGTTTCTCGTTGGCGAACGAATGGCTCACAAGCTGAATTGTGTCCAGTCCAGACTGAATGACACCAATGGAACTATTGAATTTGAAGTCTGACTTAACTGATTCTAATATTTTATGATTAATAATAAGTAATGAAAATTATTTAATACTAATCTCACTGAAGCTGAAGCAGTCAAAAGCTGGAATTATTTATTTATTTAATATTTTATGTAGGTACACAGTAAATTAGAAAAAAACAATAATACGACAATTAGGTAAAAGACACAGCTTATTTATTTCCTGATTAGTTCCATAATTATTCATAAACTGCTGATTTATGGAATATATCTGATCATTAGATGTTGGATGATCTACTTAGTAATGCAGCCTTTGTAGTAATCTTAATAGCAATTCTAATATTTGCTGCAGCAAATGTAAATATTGGGATTTCGCGCAACGATAAAACCTCAAGTAGCAGGTACTTACTAGTATTCAGTGGCGATCGCATTTTTTGTTAGATACGCGTAATATGGTATTAAAGACTTTGAAGCCTTGAAATACCGGTTTCGGATGAACAGGGGCATACATAGCCAGTTCATATTATCACAAAATTTCATAATATACTAAACGCCATTTGTCTTTTTTTGGTCTTTGAATTTCAAATTTTGAAATAAGGGCAATTGATATACACAATCGTATCTTAATCCTTGTTTTGAAATATCTGAAGTTCTTAATCTCACTACTAGCCATGCGAATGTTTCATTAAACCTCAAACGCGAACAAAGCGTGGGTTCAATTCGATGTCAAAACTGCATTAGAACAGCCTACACAAACCAACCTTGCTTCAAACAATAAAAAACTTTAAACGACAGAGTTTAAAGTGCATTTTTCTATAGATAATAAGTTTGAAGGCTATAGAACGATGCATCTTAGACGCGTTCAGTCACTGTTGGACGTCCGAAGAGAACGCACGCGCCGCTCGTTGTGAATCACTTCGCGTACAGTTTAAAACAAAATAGTGTCGTTAAACTTTCGAAGTATCATTGTGAGTGAGACAGTGATAGTTGTGGGTTTATTTCAAAGTTCATAAACGTTTTCACCCTGGATTTAAATTTTGATGGTAAGTTTTGTCATAACCTCTCCAAAGATCTTCCACACGTACTTTAGTTCCCTTTACAACATTCTTGCATGTACGATGTTAGTTTGTACAAACTAGAAGCCCATAAAGTAATTAGTTTCAACGTTAATACCGAGATAGTAAAACTGTTTTACAATGTTCTATGTGCTTATCACTCGTATCAATATCTGTCGACCTTTTTACTGTTCAAGGATAGTCGGAATTATCAACGGAACCATTATTGTTAATGTATTAACGATTGTTATTTGAAATCGTCTTGGCTTCGTGACTTCCCGCGATGGCGTTCGGTACATCCGTCTATCGTATCACGTATTGTGATGAATTCAGTTCGAGAGGTAAATATAAATAAATAATAACATTTAATTTATCTAGATTATTTTTATTACCCCTCATAATGCACGGTTCATTTTATAAAACGTAGTTAGTTCATAAACATTGCCAGTGTATCGTGAAAACAAACAATACATGTACTTCACTATCTCCATCAAAATACTTCAAAACTCCATGTTGTTAAAGTTAATCTTATATAAATGCTGGGTCACTGACCTTTAAGATAATAAAAGTGATGAATGCAATACAAACATTCAGTTGAATTGAAGACAAAAAAGACGAATGGAAAAATACAGAAATACAAAACGACTTATGACAGCAGCACATACAAAAGTTAGTCTTAAGTAAGGCCATACAAAGTACATATAAATAAATCAGAAATCTAGCCAGCCGGCCTAAATTTGTAAAAAGCGGTGCGGATGTGGAGTCGCTTGACCTGAGCCGGCTCGGGTTTATCGACCCACTGTACAACCTGTTACAACCACGATCGAGTTGCAACCACAATGTAGGCTGTATTCTTCAGATATACATAAATAACAAAAGGCTCTGAAGGGCAAAGAAACATTAAGTAACTAAGTTTTTATTATAACTGTCCTTAAACCAGTTATAACGTATATTATGATATTTTACATCTAAAAACCAAATGTATGCAAAAATTTATTGGATTTCCTTGGTAACAAGAACCATCAATACCTACTGTATAATTCGAAAAAGTGTAGTCATGAGGAAATGTTCAAGACTTTACTATGAAGGTAGATAAACAAAGTCATAATTTTAAAAATACACTGCATTGGAGTAAGTAATTGAGACCAAACCTGTTTGGTATTTTCAACACAAATAACAACTAACAACGTGAGTAAGTTATAAAAGTAAAAACGTTATTTTATTGCAAAGAGGCCGCTAAGAAATAGTTGTTTACGGCAGGATGATTCATTCGCTGCTTCATTGATGCCCTCCGAACAGTATTCAAGTTTTTAAACAAACATTTACAGAAACTTGCTCAAAACGTGTAGTACCAATAGTAAAACGTGTTTATCGAATTTGACCGAGTTACTAGACTAGTGTACTCAAACACTTATCTCAGGTGAACGCTGTAGTCTTATCTATTACTACTGTCAATACGCATTAGTTAGTCGATGACATTTAATAATGATCCAAACGTTACAAACAAAACAACTATAGAGAATTCTAGATTTCACAGTCCAATAATTTGATAACCTACTTGAAAATTAAAAAAAAACTAAATACTAGTTTCATCAACGATTACGATTCTAAAGATCACTTTACTGATTTAGTTGGAAATAAAAGCATTAAGGAACACGTAAAAGCATTGAAACATTTCAATATACATGAAGAAGAATATTCAGGTAAAGAAATTATTCCCGTGGAAATAACAGGTGAATGTTCTAAAGCAAACGGGTATAATGATTATGCTCTTACCATAGCGCACGTACCCGCTAGCATCGCTGACGCCAATTAGATACGTGTGTGGCATTAATGGCAAACTATCTGATCATCTCTTGAATATTGATGTCCATTACCCTTTATGGATGCGGATGGCAATTTTCGTACTATCGCATCTGGGTCAATGGACGCGGTGCATAATTAGTTGAGTTCAAGTCAGATTGTTTCTGCTACTGTTCATATAAAATTGGATGATAATGAACTAATGACTATTGAGATGTCTATGAGCTAATGGACTATAAGATGATTTTAGCAGCTACGAATCAGATTACAGGAAAATGAAGGTACACTGAAATCATTTAACCCAAATACAATATCGAAATAATAGAAAATATAATAAGACCTGTACACTTGACTGCTGTAGCAAATCATGAAGGTACATTAACCAAACAAAAAGCATGAAGTAAAAACTTACGACCATTTGCGTGCATCACCGTGACAAAATTAAGAAGTTTTTATTGTACAAAATAGACCAACATTTTCTTTATACACAAGCCTTTTATCTGTCTGTTTCACTTGTTTATATTAATGTTGTGTGAATAAAATGCGGAATAAATGAATTGTTTTTGTTGCGCAATAACAACATCAACATTTGAAAATACTTCAACATGACTCACTATTAAATGACATAATTTTTAAGAATCTAGTTTATCATTTGCACCGTTGTGGATATTTAGATCATCATCAAATATAACAGTATCTAGAAAAACAAAGAAAACCTGAACCTTACCAACAGTTCCAAACAACGTTCTTTAACGTTTAACTATTTTAAGAACGCTTTCTCATGTATCGTACCTCCTTACGTTAAGTTTTTCTCCTTCTTTAATTAATCTCTGTTTTATTATCTGACTATAAGTACTAACAGTGATGTGTCATGCATTTTAATGTTAACATGGCCACGATCGCTAATTACCCTGATCATTTAGTGGTCATTCTACACCATTTACTATCTTTATTGCTGCCGTAATTTCATCACAATGACAATTACGTCGTAAGATGTTGTGATGGAAAAACTTAGGAAACAAATCTATGCACATTATTTTACTATCATTAAACGAGTGATTAGAACTTTATCCTTTAATTATTGTAATGAGTGTACTTAATCTTATTATTGCAAGCGTTATTAAGAACAAAGATCAAGGTTGTAAGAATAGTAAAATTACAATGTTTTCCTGATATGCAATATATTTGTCCATGATGACATGCTCAGTCGTAGATCATCATCTAAAGATTTTTCCTTTTATGGGATTAGGTTGCAAACTATCAGACGGATCACTTGATTTGATTGTAAGCGATTGGCGCCACTTATGGACACTAGCAACATCAGAAGAGTTACAAGTTGGTTGCGGTTGTTGATTTAAAATTTGGGGATAGGGAGAATATTGGACATCATTTATACGACGAAACACTACACTGTAGTTTTTTTTTAAGTACTGTCTAAGGCCGTGCTATCGAGCTAGTCCAATCGTCCCAAAGCATCGCTCTCGCAAAGATTCAGTTAAAATATTCTTTGCCAGTACAGTCTTTGTTTCTTCAAACAATAAAGGCTATGTTTTCTAAATCTCCGTCTTCAATAACATTTATATTGTTGTCTCAAATAATAACCATTCATAAATTCTTGGTACCACTGCCATCAGTTTAGCAAACCCCATTCATATGAGTTCTCACAGTACAGTAGCGAGTGGCGGCCAATGAATTAGTGCAGCCATTCTTTGTGCAGAGCCGTTGGCCCGTGAATTGCATTCGCTTTGTAATACCGTTACGTGGCGATCCATTTCGTTGGCCACATGTGTTCAACGTACGATATCACCTCGTGTATGTTGCTGATTTATTTTCATATGAATACTACCTCCATTCTGTATAGGTAGACATTTATCATTTATATTGAATTCTCGTAACTCATATACAGGCTACAAGTGCGAGCAAAGGCCTCTTCTCACACGGAGAAGGTTTGAGCATTATTCAACTAGCTCAAGGTGGATTGGCGATTTCTAAAATTATCATTTCAGGTTTCTTCACGTTTTCCTGTACCTACATTATTGTAGTAATCTAGTATGCCTGAGATAGGTAGTCGGTAGGTACATAAAAACACATAAGAATAAAGAAAAGACAGCGCAATGTTTTTATTATTTACTCTAGGTCAAACCTTCTTAGCGTGATTTCTGTCCATAATTTAAGTACTCACGAAAATCTAGTTTTTGTACATGCGTTAAAGTTTTATATAACGAACTTTTAGCAAGTTACATAACAGAATAGTTTTTTAAAATTTGATATCATTTTACTTGATTACCTAACTATTATAAATTATGCTACAAAAAACAACCAGTAAAATAATAACAAACCATTTAAAAATCATTTTCAATACAATGTTCCATATTTCAAATCTTGAAGGCACGACCGACGTCAGCCTTGCTGGTCAGCCTTCACAAAACATTTGCACCGTTTAATCTTCGAAGCTACTTAATAATAGACAACAAATAACGTTATAAACTGGAAATAGGATAGGCATAAATCCGGCAGGGCTTCTCCTGGCCGTGTTGGAAGCCGGTGAAGTGTATTGACGGTGAACCATGAACCGTATATCTGATTAATATGGCCGACTGGAGCCGCATGCGTAGCTACGTAATTAGAGGGAGTTATGCCGATCTGATTGTTCAGCTGTCTCATTCAATATATACAGCTTGAACAGTTATTTGGTTTGTCAGCAGCCTATAAGTGATCACTGCTGCACAGGCCTCTTCTCACACGGAGATCATTTGAGCATTAATCACCACGCTTGCTCAGTGTGATTTCAAATTTATAAATGCATGTTTCTTTACAATGATGTCCTTCGCCATTTGTCAAAGTCAAAGTCAAAATCATTTATTTCAACTAAACCATAAATAGGTACTCTTGAAACGTCAAAATAGAATAGTAATGTATCAGTCTGTTTTTCAATGAAGCTAAGTGCTCGTTGCAAATTGTACATTTGAATAGAGAAGGACGAGCAAGAAAGTTCGTTAGAAAAAGTCACATTGCTACTTGCCAGGTTTCGAAACCGTACCTTCATGAATGAGAAACGAAAGCCTTAACAGCCGGGGTACAACTGACAAAGTGAAGCAGAAGTTATTTAGTATACACGTATGAAAATTGAGCTTGATTCAGTTTAGAAACAGTACCCATTGTCTACTGACTACTGAATCAATCAA